TGAGGGTTAACGCCATGGCAGGGATATGGTATGAGTGAGGGTGAGGGGTGAGGGGTGAGGTGGCGGTCACAAGCGTCAGGAGACGAGGTGAAGGTATTTAAAAACGGGGATAAGAGAGGGCAGTACCTGGGGGAGATTACTTTATTAGTGAGGTTAAAAGGTACAGGACAACAAAAACCAAACAACAAAACTAAACAGAAAGAAAGAGAACACGAAAAACTGAACACTGAAAAAACTGAACAAAACGAGTGGATAGGGGAAGGGGAAATTTGAAAGGAATGAGTAAAAGGTGGCTTCAAAGTGATGCAGCAAAACCCGAAAACTGCATCATTCTCTGTCCCATGCCAAAGAAAGAGATCACGGCCTAAACCTGATCTCCAGCCGGAACGAAGGATGGAGGGCCAGTGGTGGGTCAAGCACGGAGTTTGTTGGTCTGTCTACAGGCCAACTCACCCCACAGGATGTTAGGGAGGAAGCGAGAGGCTTCCTCACGGAGTTCAGACGTGTAATAGATCGGTCACGACCCACTACAGGGAACCGTCTGAGTGCTTCATTCCATCAGAACAAGCTGGAGTTTGTGTTTGTTGTGTGTTGTTGTGTGAGTAGAGTGTTTGTGTGTGAAAGAGAGTTTTTGTTTTGTTTAGATGCAGCTCGTGTGTGGGATTGCGCGTCTAGATCGACCTAGCCAACACGGGGTCCTCCACCGAGGTGGAAGAACCCGCGTCGGCTCGGTCGGTCGTCAGTTAGACACTCAAGGTACACCCATTCTACCTGGGTGTACCTTGCGTGGCGTAACCTGAGCCCTGTAGCGGCTACGCGATCGATGCACGATCGACGGCTCCTCAAGGTCAGGCAGGGAGTCCAGTGAACCGACGCGGAAGTCCTGGGAATCGGCGGACCAATTCCCGATGCTTCCGCGCTGTCCCAGGGGTCCCCTGGCAGGGAGCATGGCTCCAGCCGAGAGCCCAAGCCCGGCCTCGAGAACGCTCTCGACATCGATGTCGGAGTCGCTACTGTCGTCGTCAAGAATGGTGTCATCCAATCTACGACGACGAGCTTCGGGGGCAGGAGGATCCTTTTTGTCTTTTTTGTATGCATGGATGGTGGTGTGGTTTGTTTGCGTTTGTGATCAGTGGTATTTGTAGTTTGGCGTGCCTGTGCAGTTTCTTTTTGTCTTCGTTGTGGCTGAGGTTGCAAAACGAGGTGTCGGTGTTGTGAGGAAGAATGAGGCTCTGGGTGAGTGTCTGTCACCTCATTTCCTGTGGTTTCTGTGTTTGTTGTGGCGTACTCAGGGATGTATAGGTTGTCGTCTTCAAAGATTTCCTCAGGGACAACAATGCTGGGGAAGCCGTTTCTCTGGAGCATAATAGGGACAATGTTTGCGAATCTTTTTGCGTTGTATTTGGCAGCGATGAGACTTACATGTAATATGGCTTGGATTTTTGGGTTTGTGTTCGGTGTGAGGGTGCTTGTTGGAGGTTGTGTGGGCAGAGTTGTCCGAGGGGAAGTCGTGGGTCGTCTGGGTGTACTGGTCTGAGCAGGTCGTGTAGCAGCTGTTGTTGCATAGGAAGGGACAGTGTTGTTGTCTTGGCGGAGCTCAGCTCGTTTTGCCTTAAGTATTTCCTTCCGTTTAGGGCAGGATCCACTAACTGCGACATGCGATCCCTCGCAGTTGCAGCATTTGATGGTTTCAGTGCACCTGGCGAAGAAATGACCGTCGCCGGCGCACCGAGAGCATCTCTGGGGGTGTGTACATTGGTGTTTTTTGTGGTGAAAACGGTAGCAGTTAAGGCATTGGTCGATGTGAATAAAGCATTCGGGTTCCAAGTTGTAGGTGGGGACCGACGTATTAAACATCATGAGTCCCCGAGAGAGAAGTTTCTGGGCTTCCTCGGGGGATGAGACGCGAATCTTGACGATTCGCGACTCGGGTGGCTTGTAAATGTCGAGAACAGTGACACCGTTCTTGACGGAAACCTCCTGGCAGATGGACTCGCACGATCGTGGGGTGATCGTCTTGTCGATCTTTTTCGCCACGATCGTACACTTAGCCTTCATCTCGGGGGAGGGAACAGGTGAGAAGCCGTGATCTTTGAGTTTTCTTTGGCCGTCGGCCGAAAGAAATGGGGTCAGGTGTTCGGGTTTGGCAACTGTCACTTTGAAGCCATTATGGACCTTAAAGAGGTGTGTGACTGCCACCTCAGTGATAATGAAGATATTCTGGAGAGCCTCCTCGCAAGAGATAGGCTCCCCAGAATACGCTAATTTGATAACGTGACCCATAGGGTTACGCCATAGCGAGGGTGATGGATGATGGGTAGAGGGGAGGCTAGCAGAGCTAATTCAACTGGACGATGAAAGGGTGGAAATGGTATCAAAAAACGGTGAAGCACACAGGGTAGCCAACAGTCTCTATTTGGGAAGGCCGGTCGGGGTCGGAACCCTGCCGAACGGGCGTGAGCCCTTATGTGTTCGGCCGAACACTTCGCAGCGAAACTATCGGCTGCCAATGTGCGTCGTGCTTTTAATTACTCGCACATCAAGGCTGTAATTAAAGACACTAGCCCAAAGCAGGTATTGCGCAACTGCACCCAAAGCAGTTACACCAAGAGCCAATCGTCTTGTCCGTCGTGGGGGTGTCAATCTCTTTAAATCATCCACGATGACAACACAAAAAAACCTCGGACCTAAAGATCCAGGTAAGCCCTAACTCGGCCCGGGTGCGGGAGCTTAAGTGGGTCTCAGCTGTGCCGGCCACCCGGGAACGAGGGGAGCCTGCGGTCCAATAGGCGAACCATGAGGTGTTCGTGGTCAACCAATCAAGTCTCGGTATGGGTCGTCGAGAAGCTGCTGATGGTGAGGGCGAGAGGACAGGCTGTGGACCTGGACCCAACCTGGGGGAAGTATGCCGCGATGCAGGTCGCGGGGGTCGGCTACAGTTCGAACCACAGCATAATGGGAAAGAAAGGTTTAACCTTTCATATATTCCCAGATCGCGAAAAGAAACCTGAATAATGGAAACGATGGGTAGGCCTACAGGCCATGAAACGCATGAATGCTGATGGGAGTGCTTGGGCGCCTGGTGGAAAATGTTTACATCTGCTCAGAACATTTTATTGATCTACATATTAATATACTGTACACCTTTTCAAATTCTAGAGATAGATAATTACTTTCAAACTCTTGTCTATCTACATTACCTATCAAGGCCAAACAAGATCAACATTGTCGACATTAGGTTTTGGCAGTAGTCATATATTCTAAAAAGCACAAGAGCAATTTTATTTTAATTTTTATTCCTTTTTTGTAATAAACTATCATAATTTATATTTGCAGGCAAACCATCCCCGGATCCACTTCACCCAGACTTTATCCCAAGTGCCTTCAAGCACTGTCCATTAAATCAAAACAAAACAGATATACAGTTGCCTGTTGCCTTTGTGTCTGAAATGCCATATGGTCCAGCAGAAGAAACAACTGAAAAGCCTATACGTGATTTCATTGTCTCCTTTGCATAAACACCTAGTAAATGGGAAGAAAAGTGATGTTAGGAAATGGCACAGAAAAAATACCCTATATAGCTAAACGTCATACATTACTGTAGCAAATTATGTTATTATATAATTATTAGATGTCAGAATATTCAATTTTAGGTCATTTCGAAGGATCGTCGATCCAGATTTCGGTATGAGTACTCTTTCAGCTACACACTTCTAGTTTTGCTTCATATCACCTATTTGCTCCGGTTTTTGAAGATTCAAAGAATTCATACGCCATTTTCCTTCACGTGGAATAGCAACACCGAATCGGTCTATGCATTTATTCATATATCTATCTATCTATCTATCTATCTATCTATCTATCTATCTATATATATATATATATATATATATATATATATATATAAACACACACACACTTCTATTTATATACACATACATATTAATATGTATACAGTGAACTCTCGTTTTTCGCGGGGGTTACGTTCCAGAAAGAACCCGTGATAGGCGAAATCCGTGAAGTAGTAACCTTGATTTTTTTTTTACAATTACAATACAGTGAAATACTCTACAATACATTGAAACCAAAGAACAAAACCTTTTTACATGCTCAAGCATTTGTTTAACAAATAAAAGTACTGTATAAACATTTTTACAAATAACCACTGTACTGTAAAATAATAATTTTAATCATGAATACGAACTGAAGACTTCATAGGTTTTAGAGAAAATTTGCAAACAAATTTGGCAAGCTGTTTTACGTACATGTACATATTAAACCGTAACGTTATTGACACACAGGTAGAGAAGAAGCGGAGAGACTGTTTAGCCAATCAGAATACAGAACACAATACACAATGCAAATCCGTGAAGCAGCGAGAACGTGAAAGGTGACCCGCGTTATAGCGAGAGTTCACTGTATAGAAATATAGAAATGTGTGTGTGTGTGTGTGTGTTTATATATGTATGTATATATATGCGCACACACAGACACAGACACAGACACAGACACAGACACACAGACACACAGACACACAGACACAGACACAGACACACACACAGACACACACACACAGACACACACACACACACACACACACACACACACACACACACACACACACACACACACACACACACACACACACACACACACACACACACACACACACACAGAGGAATATGCATGTACCGTTTGTAAGTCCGCATGTGTTCGTTTGTTCCTAAATTGTTACACTATCTGACAAGGTCTCAATATATTAAAGTAATTAAATATAGCATAGATAGAACACTTTTTATTTAGTTTAACATTCGAATTCTGAAATGACTCTGAACAAATCCAATTTATTATGTAAAATATGAAAGCCAAAGTCAGAAACTTTATCCCTTTTCGGACGCTTTGTTTTGTTGCCGAGTTTCAAAATAAAAACTTCTACTTCGTGTAAAGTGAAAAAGATGTAAGGAATAAAGCCTTTGCACTTTTTAAACTAAATGTTTCATAATCATAAAAAGTAGGCTTTGTATATACATATGAAAATGAACTGTTGTATTGCTTCTTAGTTCTCAATACGTCTGGTAGCCCTGCACGCGGTGCAGCGTGCATGAGCTTGCGGAGGGCGTATGCATCGAGATACTGCACCATTTCAGTCGAGTCGGGCCCTTACGCAATATAACCCAGCCCTGTCAGCTAGAAGGTAAATTCTGCTGGACAGGAATCAGTGTAGGTACCTTGCTAAATTGAATACGTGTACTCTTACTAAAAACAATATTGTTAGGAAATAACATAGGGTGTATAGACCATTTATTATAATGTTAGTCAATGCGGAGTAACTATCTTGACGATATTGTTAATTACAGTTTGTCTGCCTGCTAGTGGAAGATGCATAGATTACTTGTAAGCATTTATGAAGACTTTACATTTGTATCAAATACTAATACTGCGTTCGGAACTCCTCGTCTTGCTCGTCCAGACAACTTAGCAGGATAACAAGGCCGCATTCGGAACCTATAAGGCCTTTGCTGCCCAGAATACAACTAGCTCGAAAGTAGACATTCACCCTTTTATCATAGCGGTTTCATTATTTTACACTCTACATAGGTTTTGCTACTCCTTTAATGTATATTTGTTACCCTCAATTGATATACCCCAAAATATCCTTTGATAACATGAATAAAGATCCATAAAATTATATCTTCTGGTTGCCTGCAACTGTCATTGTTTAACAAATGCAATTGTGACATCATATCGTCCTGCTTGCCCAGCTTTGAAGGAAGGCAAGGTGGATGAGATGGACAACTTGACGAGGAAGAGAAAGTAGAGGTTCTGAACAGTCAAAACATCTTGTCCAACTTCTCTGTGCTTCTAGGATGAGGAGTTCCGAATGCAACATTACATGCCGCATAGGTTTTGTAACATCTTAGGCAAAGATAACTTACCTGACAAATATAGTAATACCCCGTGATATTAATAAAGGGTCATAAAATATCAATATCATATGATTGCCTGCAACCGTCATTGTTTAGATATAAATGCTGTTGTGACGTCATCTCATCATGCTCTCTTGGCTATGAAAAAGGGTGAGAGGGACAAGATGGACAACTTGCTCAGGATGCCGAAGTAGGAGTTCTGAATGGTCGAAAAAAATTGTCCAACTTGTTGGACAAAAAGTTCTAAACACAGCATAAGAACAGTTTTGACCTGACACACCAATAAACAAGACACCTGTTGGTGCTATTCAATAACAATTGGTGCTCCTCAGCATTATTTAGTACACATAGACCCTTATTACTTCAAGCAACATAGGCCTATGGGTAGGATTATGTTTTGAAAAGATGTATAACTAAATGTCAGGGTTGCTACAGTACTGTGTTTACAAATATGTTGCCAGAAAGGGTATAAAGATGGTTCTATATTGATCAGACATTTGCTTTAACTTCTCAGATAGAAATAATTTCTAGGGACTGGCAATCCAGAGGGTTTGCTCATGTACCAGGAAATACATATTTTGTGGGAGTTGAATATTTGTTCACTGTTTTTCAGCATTTTACAAATCTTGTTATCTTTAAAGCCCAGTCCAAATATGGGTATAACGGAATCATATGTTTTTTTCTCTCTCTGACAATATAATTGTTAAAGGATTATGGGTTTCAGTAATATGTAAATATTAACATTGTGTATGAATTATTGAACCATCATTTAAAGATGTTGTATTTCTTACAGATTAGAGCTGCATGTTTGGAAGTGTGCTCAGAGTTTCAAGGCACCTTGCTTTCATAGTCTCTAGTACCCCTTCTACCCAAATTACAAGAAAAGTATCATTTAGAAGTGCTGCCTATCACCAAAACTTTGGTTGGAAGACACATGCTTCTAGATTTGATTTTGTGCTACATACACTTCTGAAGGTACAGAATTGCAGCCTCAAGAAACTAAACACTGCTTTTGGATTTAATATCCTTAGTTGTGCAAGAATGTCATCATTCCCTTTCTGTGCTGAGTATGATAAAAGAGGACAAGCCAAATGCAAGAAATGCAAAGAAAAATGTGAAAAAGGTAAGCAAAATACATGGGTTGCTATTTCTTCTTTAGTAGGAACAGATATGAACTGCTTTTTATTAGAATGTAATTATCTCAACTCATTGTTTAAATCATATACTTCTATAAGTCCAGGCAGATTTAGCTTGCAAGACTGGTCTGTCAGAACTAGCCGAACCTAGGAAATAATTAACTGTAATGCATATGGAACGTCTGAAATCCTCTAGAATTGTAAGAAAGTGATTATTTGTTTAATAAAGCTGAATTTGGGATATTTTTTGACAGGAAAGAAGTACACTTCATATTGATAACTAAGAGAGGAAAAAAGAGAAAGAAATTAAATACAAAATTAATGAGATAAAGTTAGGAAAGGAGTATGATTAGTATGGTAAGGAGTATGGTAAGACCATCCTGAATATGCTGGGTCATATTTTTCATTGATAATTGAAGTGGTAAAAAATTTGTGAA